GGGGGGGGGGGAGGGGGGATTTTTGCAAAATTTGGCAGCGTCTACCACAGGGGTTCCCAAAACTGTGGTACATGTACCCCTGGGGGGTACACAAGAGAAGTTGTGTAATGGTAGATTTGATTTTCATTATAATAATTGGCATTATGGGCTTAAAATATAAAATGTATGCTGGTAGTGGTACATGGGCACCTGGTAAATCTGGAAGCAGGAACACAATAAGAAAAAGTTTGGGAACCTCTGGTCTACCACTAAGGTAGAAAGTCAAATTATGGGCAGTGATTTTGGCCAGGTTATAGGAATATTATTTTTGATGTCTGGACTCAAGAATACCCTTTGCTAAAAGTGTAAGAACTTTCCACTTGTCAATTTGCTAAAATCACTGGATTCTTTGAAAACAAAAGAAAACCAAAAAACCCCATTGCTCTGAATGCCTGTTAGCAGTGGGTCCACTCCCCAGTACTTGAAGGATTTTTAAAAAAGGTTTAGCTGCTATTGTTGTCTATCTAGATACAGCCATTTTCAGCACACATGAAGTGGGCTTGAGATGCTCATATATGCTTTCTGCAACCGCCCTGAAAAGGAGCATACGCATGATAAAGTGTGATACTAGTGAATTAGCCAGGAGTACGACAGAATTGTCAGCTGCAAGTTTTGTTTGTCAACAAAGGGTCAGTCATTTTGCTACAGAAGTTGTATCTTCTGAGGCAATAAATATCATAAATAGAAATTTTTAGGCATAATCTAGCCAAGAAAATATTTGTTCACATAGCTATACTCGTAAACTCTCCTGGCATAGCTGCAGCTTATACTAGCTGAAGAATGACTATTGCTGGCAAAACTTATGATACCTTATGCTTCTTGAAGTCTCCTCATACCATCTGATGAAGTAAGATGCTGTTTACAAAAGCTTAAGCATCTCTAATTTAGTCTATAAGGTGCAAGTCTACCCTGCTTTCTACCAAAATAAGCTATACAAAGAAGAGAGCCTTTAGTCAATAAAAATGTTTCTTCATGAAGACTCTTAGTGGTTATAAAAAAAAGGAACAAAAACCCAACACACATATACACACTCTCTCTCTCTCTCTCTCTCTCAATACTATTGCACTTAAAACTGGTAAGCATAGGTTTTTAAGTATATGTCTTTACCATTGGTTGTGAAGACACCAGTTAACACAGATGTCCAGGAATTTCAAACCTCAGGTCATATGAATACAGACATATCAACAGTGTGTATGTGCATGTGTGTGGGGCAGGGTGGGGGGAGAGAAGAGGGGAGCACTGTCCCACAGCCTGACTCCATAATACGTGGCTTTAGCTTGTGTTACTAGTATTTTTCTTTTCTGAGCACTTCAAAATTTTGTCATATCCTTTGTAGCTGAATTTTAACCAGCAAAACTCCAGAAATGTGCATCAAACTCAGCACTTTGACAGAGGGTTACCATTAATTTAACATATTTTAAATACTTTGTCAAGATGCAATTCTTGGTGTGCTCTCCTGATAGCATAGTTAAGTCTGTCTGAACACTGAATGCAGTTTTTCATGCCTAACTTATGTTGGTTACCCTGAAAGTACCATTTTTCCCTTACAGAGAAAATGAATTTTTAGACATTACCAAGTTTACAAAAGGAAAAAAAAAAAGAGTTTACAAGTCATCACAAGTATAATTCATTGCTAATTGCACAAAAATGTTCAATAAATATTATCTGTGCTTTCAAAAGCTAATTATGAATTCTTTAAAACGGGAGATAAATGAAAGTGTCTGCCAATATGAAAAAAAAATTGCCTGTCTGGCCCCCAGTTAGTCTCCTCTTTGAATGTAATCACTGATTCAAATAGATTTTATCAGCCTCACGGAACTTCAAAGCTCCCTGAAGAAAAATTTGATTTGCTGAAACCTCCCCAAAATATGCAGAACATCCTTGTATGCTATCTGTCTCCACTGCAGTGTGCTTAAATCACATGTCCAGGTGGAAGATTATTTGCAAGCTCCACCCACAAGTTTGGATCTCTGCCAAGTAAGTTATAAGCAGACACATTTATCTATGTTGCTTAGTAGTAAGTGGAGAGCTGTCATGATAGTGTAATAGCACCTTTTTACCTTTTATTCAATAGTGATATGGATAGTGTGCTTTTTCTTAAATTACACTACGAAGAATTATATGAACACAGTGGCAATTTCTGTTATACTTAAGCAGGCAAATTTCCCTCCACCACATAATTTACAGAACTCAAATTCAATAAAACATTACATGATGGTCCATTACTGTTATCAATTTTGAATAATCCATCTTCATTCTTCATTTTACTGGAAAATAAAAGCATGCCAAAGACAAAATGTTAAAAAAAAAAGCAGCCTAGCAAGGTGATCAGTGTAAACTCAAATTGTGCTTTAATATTACAGTATGCAGTTTACTGGATCCAAATATTCTTCCTTAAAACAGTAATTGCCAAGAATTAGTATGTGCATAGTCTTA